TGCTCGGCCTGTATCCTGTGCCAGTGTTCGTGTTGAAGAGGCCTATTCAATGGCTGTGACAGGCAGGCAGAACCGGACTGTCCGCTTCACTGGTGGCTTCTCTGCCCCGTCCCGCTGCTGTCCCGCCCTCCTGGCACGCTTCCTGCAGCAGTCAGCTGCTGGCATGCAAAACTTTTGCTTTGCTGCCGCCGCCGCCGCCGCCGCTGCTGCTGCTGCTGCTGATGTTGCGGATATTCGTGTTGTTTAGTTTAGTTTCTGTGGGCTTTCTCAAGTTTGCACGAGTTTGTGTATTTGTATTTGTATGTGAATGTGTGTGTGTGTTTGTGTGTCACTTTATGCGCTTCCTGCTCGATGCTGTCGCACCGCCCGCCGCCACGTTGTGCCGAGAGTGAAAGTTTTTTACAATGTTGCCGTCGTCGACGTCGACGACGAGAGGCCAATGCGTGGTGAGTTTTGCGCGTCACGCTCTCCCACTCTCTGGTTAACTTGCGCTCAGAGCGGCAGCACACACACACTTTAGTACTTTGTAATTCGTTTGCAAATTTTTTGTAATATCTTTGATAATTTTATTTTTATATATATATTTTTTTCTGTTGTTGTTTAATTCACGCTTATTTCGTATGGTCACATTTGTAGTTTGATCTTTTTGTTTCGCCCATGGCACATGGAATTGTTGTCTGTTGCGAATTCACCATGAAAGCAGCAACAGCAACAACAACTGCTGGGCCTCTTTGTTATTGCGGGTGGTGTTTGCGCTCCAAGCTCCGAGCTGTTGGCCAGCTTGAGACGAAGACGACACAGCAAAAGAAGGGAGAGGAACAGCAGCAGCTGGAGGTGAAGATGGTGGCAGCTGAGACTGCTTATAGTTGGTCGCACGCCTATAAATCGCCAAGTTGCGTGCTGCGATTCGGTATTGGTATCGGTTTTGATATTTTCGGACTCCGAATCCGAATTGCTGTACGTGGCGAATTTCGACGGTAGCCGTTGCCGTAGTAATTTAACCTTCTGCCCTACTCTAGAATGCGTCATCGAACATGTTGTTGTTGTGGTTGCCGTTGCCGTTGCTGTTGTTGATGTTGTTGTTGTTGTTGTTGTATTTCTTGTTGTTGTTAATATTGTTGTCGAATGCCACATAAATACGAGTTAGAGCATATACGTGAATTAATTGGCTTAATATTTCATTTGGCACCATCACAAACACAACACACTAGCTCAAGCACATGCAGACAAACACACACGCACACACAGACAAGTGGCATGCCACACACACGCACACGGTGTGTGCATAATGCAATATTTAAACACCGCTGCCTCGCACATTTACTGCATATGTCGTGCACATTCACAGACATTCATTACCCATACGCCATGTTGTACGGCCGTGTTTTCGGTGCACACGCACTCGTGCACGGCGCTTTAGTTTTTGTTATTGAATAAGGAGTTATGGAGCTCACTCTCAAGGTTATTTTCTGTTACAAAAAACTGTTTCATTTGCTCGATTTTTTTCGTGCACATTACTTTGATTTTTATAGAGATCCGCTGGGCATTCCCATTGCTACTGCTACTGCTGCTGCTGCTGATGCTGATGCTCTGCACATGGCTCCAGGCTCCACAATGTATCTACATATTTTGTGCATTTCCAACTGTTTTGCAGAGCCTACACTTAACGGCGCACAAATTGCGCTCCCAAATCACAATTGCCTTTGGCGTTTGCCTTGGCATTTGGTTTAAACACTTTTGCAATTAAATATTTTTGGTGGAATTTATTTTCTTTTTTTTTTCTTCTTTTTCTCTGCTTTTGCGTTTCCAAGGTGCGCGATTTTGCTGTGTTACTGCGGAGCGTCCCGTCTGGACCGTGTGGCTCCACTTCTCAGACTACTTGGGCCCAACTTTGTCGTGGTCGCATTCGTGCTCGGGCCCAGAGCTTTTCCCCAAAATGTAGGCTTTGTCAGGCAACGGAATCGGGCCCGAATACGCAACGAACTGAGCGCGACTTTTCCACCACTTCCCTATAGTCGCACCTCCCCTCCAGCGAACACCCCCGTAGACAGGCGACTGACTGGCGAGTAAAAATTAAAGCTCTGTCTCGAATCGCGGTTTACGGGCTCAGTCGCAGTCTCAGTTTCAGTCTCTGGTTTTGTTGGGTTTGCACTCAAAAGTTTGCGTTGTTTGGATTTTGTTATTTTACTGTAACCGTAGCCGTAGCCGTAGACTCCGTCCCGTGTGCTTTTTCAGAGGATTTCTTTCATGTAATTGTTTTCGTTTCGTTTGCTACATTCGTTACTTTTACAATGAAAACAAAAGGTAGAACAGAAGCAGAAAGAAGCACTGTCGGAAATATCTTTCAAATTTAGTCGTTATTGTGCACTGTAAATTGTGAGAGTAATAAAAGTTGCTTTTATGAAAAGTGCATTTAAAGTATAAATCAAAGAGTCAAGTATGTATGAAGCATGAATAGCTGCTCGATATGAAGATACCCTGTAATTATCAATGGATTCAGTTACTACAAAATTAAACTTAGAAAAAATGCCATTTAATAATAAACAGAAAAGTAGGATCAGTATATGCTATAATTATAAAAATAAATAATAATTATGATAATCAAAATGCATTCTTTTATTTTAATGAAAGAGGGATAAAGAGAAAGCGTGTTCTAAAAGGCGAACAAAGCGAATATAGAATAAGAGACAAATCAGCAGAGATTCTCTAAATAAAATAATATCAAAACCAAATATAAATTTCGTTTTGGATTCGTGAGAAAGCGTGAAAATCTCATAAAATTAACTAGTTTTCTATCACAGTTATTTATTTACGTTATAATATTACTTAAACACTGAGTACTTTCTTTTTAAAACTTTCGTTCGGTCGTTTCCTGCAGAAAAATTCATTAACTGCACTAAGTTTAATGTGCTTAATTGCTTATCAAAGTGATCTACTATTTCTTTAGGTGCCCTATTAAAACCCTACAGTAAACGGCACGCAAGTCGAAGCACCAACAACATACTCAACTGCCCAGCTACCACACCCACAACCACACCCACACCTAGGAGCAACTTTTTAGTGAATTCTGCACAAATCTCACTCAATAGTCCGAAAAAGAACGAAGCAGTCGCTAGGCCAGGTAACGAACCAGGCAAACAATGGCTGTGGTGAAAGCTTGCACTCTCTCAGTGCCAGTCTCTCTCTCTTTCTCTCGCTTTCACGCTCTCTCTCCCACGCGCAGAACTCAACACATGGCAGCGCGAAACGTCAAAAAGCGCTTGACAGCCAGGCGAATATTGAAGGCAAAGAAAGCAAAGCAAAAGCCAAAGTGAAGTTCGCCAGGTGCCTAACGGCACGCAAACCCCTCCATCCCATTGGGAAGCTGCGCCTTGTACGAATAATCAAGAGCAAGAGAGAGAAAGAGAGAGAGAGAGAAAGGGAGAGCGTGCGTTAAAGGTGTGAGTGTGAACGACACGTTGTTGCATTTCGCACACTGACACAGCGGGCAGCATTTTTGGCAACTAGGAAAAAATAAATCGGGTTTAGGCTGGACGAAGGTTGCGTCAAGGTGTTGATGGGCACAAACGAGTACACGTGCCGGGGATGGGGTCAGGGTACGGGAAACGGGCGAGTGGATGTTCTCTTGAAGGCTAAGCGCTGCGCTGCCGTCAGGCCCTGCACCATCGACAGATTTGTTGGCCGTGCCAAAAGTTTTTTAATTGAATTCCATGTTGGGGCTGTTTACGTTTTTCTCAGTTGGCCAGGTGCGACCCACGAACCGCCACCCGCCACCCGCGACCCACGACCTGACCCTCGACCTAACGTTGTGGGTGCTGCTCATATTGGAATTATGTCACGTTGGCTGCGTCATTGTGTCTGCCTGGTTTATTGATTATTCTCGCTTATGACGAAATGCGTACGACAAAATAGTTTGCACACACACATAAACACACAACTATGACGTCATTGTTAACCCCGGAGCTTTTTAACCGCACACACACACACACACACACACACACACACACACACGCGCAGTTGCAAGCATTGCCCTCACTTTGATGTCAACTTGTCGCGCCCCATACTCCAGCTGTGCATCCATGCCTCCCGCCCCCCAACAGCCATCCTTCGGGCTGCCATAGAAACGTCAGCTCAATTCAACTCATTTCCATTTTCATTTGAGGCTTGAGAATTTTTCACTAGTTTGTAAAAGTTTGCATGGAGAGCTTTTCAAGCATTTCACATTTAGTCGCCCACCCCAAGCCCCTCAAGATTCGGTTTTGAGCCCTCAATCTCAATTTGTTTGACTGCTTTTATTATTGCAGCAAGAGATTTATGTTTGTCATTCAAGTGATCTAATTAAAGTTTCTTTGCACCAAATTATATCTAAAAAAAAAAAAGGGGGACATCGTCTGGATATACTTGAGCTACGAGTTAAGCTGTGACCCGCCGCGGAAGTGTAACTTGTTTTCGCCTAAGCCAGAAAAGTTGCTAAAAAGCCAAAAAAAAAACAAAAAATGAAACTAATTTATTTTACTGTCGACGCTCGTGGGCCAATTTAATGGAATGTGCTGACCCGTTAACTTGTACACAAGCATCTCCGGGTCTTCCTTGCAGTCTGGCGAAAGGGTTTGCAGCTCTGGCAACGGACAGATGACAGTGCTGATATTATCAAAGGTAAACAACCCTCTTCAAAGTAAGTCTAGAAATTTGTTAGCATTCACAAGGGCAAAATTTTAAACCAATTTAGTTATAATCCCAATATAAACAGATTATAAGTACGACCAAAATTCATAGAAAATAATGGCTACTTATTTAAATTACATTTATGCCAATATTCTTATTACCTATACAATTTTAAACTTCGTCTGTTTTAATGCCACAAGTTTTACACATTATTACACCAAATATCCTTTCAGCTCACATTTAAACGAGATGAACATTATTATATTTGTATATACAATTCGTATTCAATTACTTTTCTTATTACAATACAAATATCTATATAATTATGCACTTACCCAAGAGCTCGCATGCAGTGTTGACTTTGATTATCATCAATTTGAAGGTTTTACTTTATAATACACATCCCTAAAGAAAAATAAACAATAAATAAATTAATTAAGAACAAACTATGTTATATTGTCAACACAGCTTGTTAATAAAGAACTTCTAAAAAAAAGCATGACAACCAGAAAGGTTTCCTTAAGGATATGAGAATCGCATAGTAAGGCTTTTTATAATATGTGAATGTTTGTATGCGTATATAAAGGTGAATATACATACATGAATGCACCGATACATATGTACATACAAACGGAAATATTTGAATATATTAAAAACACATCATGATTATTACTTACCATATATTTCCAAAACATGAAAACCTATGTCGAGTTTATGAGGAGTCCGACACGACCAGTCAACTAGATTTTTTTATGTTATGGCTATTTGAAGTTTTTGAAATAAATCTTAAATTTTGAATATCTTTGCTTTTTCTCGCCCGATATCGGAGAGATATACCTCTTTCGACTCGTACAGGCCCGGTCCTTCGATTCGCATTTAAAAATCCTGATTCCCAAAAGATGTCCAAAATTTACCAAAGTGGCAAGGGGTAAATAACATCACGTTTTTGGCGAAAATGGACTTTGTCCTGGAATTAAAAACTTTTGATGCTGATCGATTCTAAGGTCCTCCACGATTACAAAACGCCCAATTTTTCCGCGATCGGACGACTTTTAATCGAGTTATGGCCATTTGAAGTTTTTCAAAAAATCTTGCAACTTGAATATCTCGGGTATTTTCCGCCCCATATCGGAGAGATATACCTCTTTCGACTCGTACAGGCCAGGACCTTCGATTCGCATTCAAAAATCCTGATTCCGAAAGATGTCCAAAATTTACCAAAGTGGCAAGGGGTAACATCAGGACTTTGTCCTGGAATTGAAAACTTTTGATGCTGATCGATTCTAAGGTCCTCCACGATTACAAAACGCCCGATCCTTCCGCGATCGGACATCGTTTACTTGAGCTATGGCCATTTAAAGGTTTTGAAATAAATTTTTCGACTTGAATATCTTCGCTATTTTTCGACCGATATCGAGTTGATATAGTAGTCTGGTCCTGTTGGTTCCGACACATGTACTTCGAGCGGATGTACGTAAAGATTCATGAATAGGTTTTCAGATAGGTTTTTGATTGTCTTAAAAGAAATCGGCGATATTCATTTCACTTACATATTATTCACAAGTACTACGGTAAGCGAATTAAAAGATATAAAAAGATAAATACATAAATTCAGATTTTAAGTACTTACTTACATGATTTAAATTCTTAATTGTTAGTAAAAGGCAGCTTACTTTCGGTTTTATATTTACACACGTTCTTTACTTAATTTTGTTTTGAATAGGGCTCATATTTAATATGCCTTCATAAAGGTATCGATATATATGTATGTATAATTCTTTAAACTGTATCGCTAAATATACAAACAAATACAATATCTTAACTAGCTGTAAAATGGGGAGGGCTTACCAAATTGGTATATACATATAGATTATATTATTATCGTTTCTCTATGCAACCCCATAAAATATTTAGTTACAAATTTGTATTGTTATTTGTACAATACGCGTACAGCAATAAAACATCTATACAAATACATATCATGTTGGTTTGTTTGCTTCAAAATAAAGTACATACTCGTACAACCCACGAGTCATATTGTGTGGTCTGGTTCCACAAAAACTAATATCGATGCTAACCTCAAAATTATTGTACTAAATTTTTGTATATCCATCGCTTAAACAATATCAATATCAGTAAGTAGTATATATGTTTTTATAAATATCAGCAATTATTCCAGTTTTAGACTCCACATGAATGTGATAAAATGATTCCGACACTGTGAAGGAATTTACGGAAACGGAGATTACAAAAGTTGCGTTTTTATCTACGGGCTAATTGACGGGTTAATCGATAAGCAAATTGTTATCGGTCTGTTACACACAAAAGCGCAACTGTACTTCCAGCTCTAACTGTGCCAGCCTATCGATATTATTCGATTGCTGTCTATTCGTGTAATAAATAAATTAAAACATTATCAACTAAAACTTGTTGTCATGTGCGCGGATCGTGTTTTCTATATACTATATACAAGCGCTCCACCATCTTGCTCTTCGGTTCTGTTTCTGATCTCTCTCAGAGAGAGACTGCCTCACTCCTCGCCCTCATATCCCAAGCACCACAACTGGGACAGGGGCACAAGTGCGGACTAGCTGCCCCCGACGCCAGCCTCATCCTTGCGTGGGCGCAGTATAAAATTGAGATTATAATTGGTGTTGACAGCATAGTAAACATTCGCTGTTTTTGGCATGACAAGCTCCTTGTCCGGCAGCACCTGGGCGAGCGTATATCGATCCGGATCATCCTCCAGGCCGAGCTTCAGCATCGCATTCCTAATCACTTGCGGGGTGCGCTCATTGTTGCCCAGCATGATGCTTTTGTAGAGCACAATGCCATCCAGCTCAATGTTATCCGTCTCATAGGTCACCCGGATGATGTAGAAGTCTGGCGCAGATTGGGTAGCCACGCCAGCCGGCTGCACCAGCTGTGCATTGATGTGGGTGTGCGGCGAGCCGCCGTTTGTGGTGCCATTGCCCAAAGCAGCATTCTTCAGACCATTGCCAAGCGACTGGGAATGCGTGAGCTTGCTGTGAGCCGATTGACGTCCGCCCGAGTTGCTCGAATCCATGGACAAATTGGAGGTGCTGCTCGAGGCGGACATCAGGGATGCATGATGCGCATCCCGATCCAATGAATTGTGCCTGGAACTGGTACTGCTGTTCAGCTCGCAATAGAACTGCGAGCCGGCCCCGCTGCTCGAATTGGAGTGTATTGAGTCAGTCTTGCGATGTCCATGTCCAGCACTGCCCATTATGGAGGCCGTCGACGAGGCAGTCGTATTCGTTAGCGACGTGTTGGTGCTGGCCACCGATTTGCGCGGCGCCGGCGGCGGCGGCTCCAGCTGGCAGCTAAGCGCAAATGCCTGACGCTCGTCCAGCAGCGGCATGGAGCCAAACCAATGATCGAAAAGCGCATCCTCTTGCAGATTATACGTGTTGGCGGCTCCCTGGAGCAGCTTGATTTGAGCCAGCACCTCGAACTCCTTGCGCTTTTTGTCAAAGTTGATCAGCTTGTCCTCGGTAAGGTAATCCGGATTGGCTGTGTGTATCATGGTCAGATCCGTGAGAAACGTTCCCAGATACGGTATGGTCCCGTGCGAAGTCTGTGTGCCCAGATTCTGTATAAGCTTTTGCAAATGGCGATCAGTTTGATCGCCTGCCGGATCCGGATTTTTGGCAGTTCCTTCACGCTTGAGCACCTCGCGCAATGTCCAGGCATTGTTGTCCTCGGAACAGATACGCGCGAGCTCCGTAAAGATTTCCATCTGAAAAAGAAAAAGAAATTTATATTAATGACAAAATATATATTTATTAATAATAAACTTACGCGCTCTTTGGGCAGAAACTCCCAAACCTTGGACAGTCTGTATATGGAATTGGAATTCAATCCAGAGATAATGGCCTTGAGGGAACTGAAATTCTTGAGCATGCGCAGCTCCTGCGCTATATCTATCCAACGTGAAATGTTCAAGGCGCGTTCCTGCGGATTAAGATCAAAATGTTAGCTTAAAGTTGGTATAACCAAGAATTCTTGGACTCACCTGTGGCTTGAGACGATCGATGAGTATGCTGGAGACGACGCGAAAGAGCACCGCATTGAACTGGTTGATGGTGGCCACCACCGTCTCGGAGCCGCCGCTGTCGCGCCGCGCCCACGTATGGCCGAGACATTGGTGCGGTATCAGGCGCTTAAAGAGCTCCGTGTCCATGCGCGTGAGCTGCTCGGCAAAGTGGCGCACGGGCACATGGGGGAAGCGAAAGGCCTGCATAAAGTGCGTGGGTCCGCGATAGATGGGCGCCAGATACAGGCCGCTGAAGTGTTCGCTCAGATCGTATGTGGAGCCGCACGGCGTGTGCATCATGAACTGCGCCTGCTGGCCACCTTGAGCCGCCAGCCAGGGCAGGCCATTGCCATCGGCATGATTGCTGGCGCCTCCCACTCCGTAGACCTGCTGTCTGAGCAGCCTTTCCAAGCGATTGAGCACTTTTATGTGCAGGTCGGAGCGTTTGAGACGCTTGCTGGCAAATGCGAGTATCTGCTGCAGATTATCCTCATGCCAATCCTCTGGGAAACCATCCAGCCACACGTGCAGCGCCGAGACTAGAGTTTTTTTATGCTGCTCATGTATGGAGGCGGGTGGGTCATAGCTGGAATCCTCGGCGGTGCCATTCTGTTGCGCCAGCTCCATCTCCTCCATGTGCTTCTCGTGCAGCGCATCGTAGCGCTGTGTCAGCAGGCTGAGCACCTGTTTGGGTGTTGAGAAGGTGCGATATGTGGACAGAAACACGTTGATAAACGTGGACTCCAGTTCGCCATCATCTGTGGCCAATGCCTCGACAAGTCGCGCCAATGTGGCGGCCTTCACGAATCGCACGCGCACCGTCTCCCATTCCAGGTGTGAAATTTCATCATCCGAGTCCTGCTGCAAGTCCAAACGAGAATTGGAAAATTGTTAAATTGAAAAAGGCTATCAAGGTAATTGGTTGCCATCGCTTGCCATGATAACTTACATTGCTCGCCGTGGGCGTGGGCCGATGATAGCGCACCTTTTTCAAATAGACCGTGAATATTGCATTCTTCTCGTGCTCCTCGCCCCAGAGGCGCCACGTGGGCTATCAAAAACAATCAAAATGTCAAATTAGTTAAGTGCTACAAGCCACAAAGATTCTTATAATATCGATTATATGGATTTGTACATAGACTAAATATAGTATATGTCTGCGATTCATTAACGCAATTAATCATTTGTCTAAATTTAACACAGTTTCCGACTATTTTTAATTCATTGAATATTCTCAATACGCGGCGCGTTTGCTAAATATTTTCAATATAAACATTATGTCAAGAGAACATTATGGAAAAGCATTTCAAAAGTGTTGCAGCACACTTTTCTTTTGGGGTATTATCAGCTTGTCATGCAATGTGTTACGCAGAGAAGATTTATTTTGGATAAAAGTAGAGTATATATATTCCTGATCAGTTAGGTCCATCTTAACTGTCTGTCAGTCGAGCGGAAATAAGTTGTTCATTTGTCTAGCAGAGTATTTAATGTTCGACCTGCCGCAAATAGCAGTTCTTTCTTGCTTTTGTTTGCCATTCTGATGTTTATTGTGATGGCAACTGGCCGACATTTCCCATTTTCCATTTCCCGTCGACTGTTTTTGCCAAATATCATTCGTTTCTGTCCGTTTTAGATATGTACAATTTCTATTTGGCATTTAAATTGCCTAATAAATATCTAGTTAATAGTCTGCGGCTCCAACTAAGAAATGTATATATGAATGGAGAATAATTTATAACAAAATGTCCTCGTGAAATTCTGAAGCTAAACTAGAATTAAAAGTATTCCAATCGATTTTAGTAAATACATTAATTTAATTTAAATATTTCTGCATTATTTAACTTAAGAGCAAACGCAAATATTTGTCTATTAGAAAATACAATAACAATTTTAACTTGAAAATCTGTTTTCGCATAACTAGTTTTTCCGATCAACAAAAGTTGCTTAGACAACATTCTTTCATAATTTAAGAATAATTTAAATTAAAATGTTAAACTATACTTTTAAGAATCATAAGAGAAGACTTGATCGAACGAAAAAATATGCTCTATTGTTATTTGAGTACAAATATAAGTATAAAGCTATATACCCAGACATGCATACAGGGTATCTTCTGATCGAGCAAAGTATTTAAAAGAAATGTTTATACTTGTCTTTATGGATAAACATATGTCAAAACGTGTGTAAATTAACTTTTAATTGTCCTTGTAATTAGTTGAAAATATAAATCTTGAGGTTCTCTCTCTCATCAAATAGTTCCGGCAAAACACAAAAATAAAACAATAAAAAAATGTAGACAGATATGCACAATTTACAATGACGGTTCATCAATTACACGGCCACTTAATTGACATATCTATGTATTTACATATGCATGTATGTATTTACATATGAATGTGTGTAAATATTTATGAGTTTGGGGCGAACAGAAATAGTTTAAGCATTTGCGCCTAATCAACAAAAGCATAAGAATTCTAATTGGGGAAAACATGCAACAACTGAACTTACAAAATGGCTTTGTTTACTAAAAACTCGAAAGAACTTCTATATTCGACAAGCCGACTATTAAATACACTTGCGGACTAAAGTTGAGGAAATGCTTAGATGCAAAAGCTTTTCATTTCGACCGATTATTCTCTTGGGAACTCTAGAGTTTTGCAGATATATTGGGAGAAGCTCGTATTTACTGAGTTTAGGGAATTAGAATGCCCTCTAAAAGGGTATGAAATGCACCCACGTATATTTGAGCGTGTGTGTGTGTGTGTGTGTGTACCCCATGTATGCATGAATATGTGTGTCTAAGCATGAATGATTGCATGTGCACTGCAAAATAAAAAACAAAACAAAACAAAAATTAATAAATTTAATTGCAAAGTGCAATGCCTAAGCGTGAAAAGGCAATCAACGCGCGATGAATGAATAAGCATGAAGAAAATTGAATAAATAAAAAACAAAAGCAATAACACGTAATTTTGTAATGGTAGGTATGAGTGTGTGTGCGTGTGTGTGTGTATGTGACTGTGTGTGTGTGTGTGTGACTGTGTGTGTGTGACTGTGTGTGTGCGTAACAAATTATAACGAAGCGAATGCCGCAAAACCCCACCGCCCCCCCCCCCTCCACGTTTTCGCCTGCCATAACACGCATATAAAAAGATTTGCCCACAGTGTGCGATGACTTCGCCCAACCCCCCCCCCCCCCCCTCTCTCTCTCACTCCATCCACCGCCCACCGGCCCATACGCCCAGCTGATACCAGAGCGACATAAGCATATATACATACATACACGCACGTATATAGTATTCATATAGGGGCTTACTTGGATCTCTGGGCATGTGGACAACGGACATTAATGAATCTCATGTTTGGGCAATTAATTGCCCGCATGCGCTTTCATTGCACGTACAAAATTACAACAACAAAAATCCTGTATTTAAATGTTTAGTTTAGTTTTCTTCTTCTTGTTAGCCGGGCCGCGTCTGAGGTCTGACCCCATTTCGTAAAAATTCGTGGATTGTTTGAATATTTCGTAAAAGTACAACAAACAGAAAGAAAAGATTTGGACGTTAAGTGGTCGGCGCAATTTGTTTTATGATTTTTATATACACTCATCAAAGGGCATTAGAATTGTGTCACGCCTTATACCCTATATCATATGCATTATATCATATACAATCGATCTGCAATAGCATTTGCTGAATCTATTTTTATATCATTTCTGTACAAAGATCTTCTCATCTATAAGCATTTCTTGCAGTCTAAAGTTTGGCTCATTTAAATTGTAGGGTATCAAAATCACCACTGAATGAATATAGAGAAAAACATGATAGTCTATGAATATATTGATTTATTGTTTAACTGTTCCATTACCCAATGAATCAATAGTTAAGAAACTGGCTAGATCTTATCATATATGAAGGGTGTACGATATTCGAGCAAGTCTTGTCCCTTTGCAGGTTCTCAATTTAATTGAGAGAGATATCTATAAACAGCTGGAAGTTTTCGTAAATGCCTGGCAATAAATAAGCTTTGGCAAAAAAATGTTGAAAATTTTGTTGTGTTGTGTAAACTTCTTAGTACTTATTAGGCCGCCCCACTATTTCCAGCTTACAACACTAAAGGCCTAAGTGTTGTGTAAGTCTCTTTGACGACGGCATCTTTAAAGCGCTTTTATAGTACTGTAAACTGCCGTGTTGAATTATTTAAAAATTTAACATAAACACAAAAAAAACAACAGCTGCGAAAACATCGTCGCTGACTGTTTCCTGCGAAGACGAAATAAAAGCAAAAATTTAACAAATTGCAATTGTTTTTTTTTTCTTTTGCTTTCTAATTGGTGTGTACTTAGCTTGTGATTGTGCGCTGTTTCTTTTTTTCGGCTGGCTGATCAACACATGCTACTTCCCAAATAATTAAATACTCTCATATATATATATACACACACACACACACACACATATGTATGTAAATGTTTTTATGTAGCGAATGTGAAGGCAACATTTAATCAATTCACGGCGAAAGATCAGCCAAGTTGCTTGACTTTTTTGTTTTTGTATTTTCTTTTTATTTCAACGTCTGCCGAAATAAGAAATTGTATGCGCAGGCACACACACATTTATTTATTTAATTTATTTGTTATTTATTTGGCATTTTGTATGTTTTTTGTTTAAATGGCTGTGCCCCACACATTTGTATTGTACATAATATATTGTACATATGCTTGCTTTATTTGTGTTCTTGTTTAATTAATGACGCACTAAACTAGCTTGTTTCAGTTTCATTTGCGTCAAAAAAACGCAATGCTTATAAAAAAATAACAAATATTAAAACAAAAGCACAACTAAAACGGTAAAGACAAAGTCATAACACTTAACAACACTAAACTAACGGGTCACAAAGCGTGTTATCGATAAATGTATCAATACAAATGAATAAATTAAAGCACCGGAAGTCGAGGGTGTCAAATAACAATGACTGCAGCTGTCAGCTATCAATGAGTTGAATTCAACGGCTGAATAAAAAGATAATAACAACACTGGACCGTTACAGAGCGTGGCATCGATAAATGTGGCTGTTGTATCGATAAATATAGCAAATAATAACGGTCGCAGCTGTCAGTTATCGACAAGCAGGGCGATAGACAGGTTTGGCTCGCGAAATAGAAAACTAATTCTAAAATATCCTACATAATGCTTAAAGGTAAAGGGGAAATCAAGCGGCAATAGGTATGTATACACTAGATATACTATAAACTGTGCACATGCATTTAACCAATTACCTTGGTGTAGGTATAGTTCTTGGCATGCAAATCTTTCGTCTTCTTCGACAAATTGCGCAGCGTGGCGCCCGTGCAGGCGCACAAGTACTTGAGGCTGGCCACCACCTTGCGCTCCGCACTGGCGACTGCGGAAGATGCATCCAAATCATCGTAGGAATGATACGAGCTATTGCGACGCTGTTTGCTTGCCGCGGACGTGGACCGTGAACGTCGCTGCTGCTGCTGCTGCCGGCACAAGGTGGATGTAGGCGTGCCACCTGCCAACGATGTGGGCGTTGAGGATTTCTTCTGACGCGGGCACGTGTTGTGATGATATTGTCGCTGCTGCGGCGATGACTTTGCCTTGGCCCAATGATGCTGCTGCTGCTGCTGTTGCTGCTGCTGCTGGTGGTAGCCGCAGAGCGTGGTGCTGTTGTTGTTGACATAACGCCAGGCGCTGCTGAAATCCGTATTATCCAGCGGCGGCATCAGAGCGCGATTGTAGCCAGCCAAATCTTGCAGCTGATAGGCGCAAGTGTGACTCTTGATAAGCGTGGGCTGCTGCTGCTGCTGCTTGTGATGTTTGTGCTGGCAATTACAGTTCGCTTGGCTTGTGAAATTCTGTAATTTGTTGAGAGGGTTGTTTTGTTGGGACTGAGTCAATTGTTGGTTTTTGGGCGCACCGAGACTGAAACTGCGTTTTGTACTTGATCATGGTTCATTGATTGGCATTGGGCTGTATGGGAATAGCCGTGAAACGAGTTCATTCACACACGTACTCAACGCACTCATCGCACTCAGATGAACACTCACTTGAGAGTCACATCGAGTTGAGTCTCTGACAATGCCTAGGGCTTGTACGCCCCTGACCTTGGCTACCATTTAAACTTAGACACACACAGACACACACACATAAACAAATATACGTATATAAACATCAACTTATTGTTCAGCTGTCTTGCGGCGGCATCAAATAGACAATATGGGAGCAACAACAAGTTTGAGCGATTTTGACAGCAACTCGAGTGGCGTCTCGAGCTGCCGCTCGGCACCTACCATATTTGGTTAAATGCTTTCGCTTCCCCAATTGCAATTACAGGCAGCCGCAATTTCATGTGGCTAACCGCTTCGGAAAGCGCTTTTGTTCAACAAATTTTACATTGTTCCCCGGCCCGCCCATAAACAACATAAGGTATTAGCCCCCAAACGTGCAACGCAACTTTTCCAGGAAGTTGTTATTATTGCTTTGCGATTTTGTTGTTTCACGTCCATTGACAGCTGCGCGCAATTTCGCTTCGATACCCTGACGAAAAGCGGAGGCTGGCAAGTAATTTACGTAGCTTGTTAAGGCTTGAATGGAAAATCTTCCAAGGAAAATTATAACCAAGAGTCCATCAGCTAACTGAGAGAACTCAGTTAAATGTCTTTCAAAAGTTGTTGAACACATTTGAGAAACATTTTTGGACCAACTCTCACATTATCTCAAAGTTGAAGTTCAATTAATTGTTAAAAATAAATTATGAATATCAAACAATATTTATTTAGAATAAATTTCAATTGAAATTATCAAATTATTTAAATTGCCATAAAAACCCATTTGTTAGTGTATTACCAGTTCGTTTTGTGCAAAATGCGCAACTCGGCATTTTTCATAAATTTTTGCTAGTTGTGTTAGGAAATCGTTGTTGGAAAATGCATTTTGACTTTTCCTTTTTCACACTAGTTTTATGGCGATTCGTCTTGAAACATATGCATGCCTCGTTGTTTTTGCCAGTTGCGCTTGTTATTGTTCATTATACGTGTGTGCATACTTATTTGTGACTGACTGTTATGGACCTGCCCATTTCATGTTGTGTGTTTTTTGTTTTTACGCCATAAATTTAGGCCACAACAAATGTTCGGTGTGCTCTCAATTGTGCGAAGTCTCGCTCCAAATTACATAACTTGTTTGCTTAATGGCTGCTGTTTCTGTTTCCTACGAAAATGCCATCCACTTATCTGTGCAAACAGATCAGCGGGTCACTTTAGACGAGAGCGTGTCCAGGGTCCAGAGGGTCCATGGCAACAGCAACAACAACAACAACAACAACAAGAACAACGGCTTTCAATCAGAAACGTGCCACATTTTGCGACGCGTACTAAATTGCATATTTGTTGCCACAGCATTAAATTCAACAAATATATATCAACCATAAAGGCTAGGATCGTAAATCTGGCATCCCAAAAATAAACGCATTTAACATTCAACAAAGCGCACACAGTTCCGCACAGTTTACACAGTCATAATAAAATAAAATCGCGCTCCATTAAATCATATAAAAATTGTCAGTCAATCTGGCACGTTCCGACACATTCCGCGGCCTGACGAAGAGGCCTCCCCCCACTGCAGAGACTCATATGTATGTGTAGAAATGAAACAGTTGCAACTGGCGTGCTATGTTCCAGCTAAAAAACAATAACATGATCTCTTAAAAGTGTGGCAAATCATAGATGTCTAGCAACTGGGCATGCCTAAAGGGATTCCGAATGAAATATTTGCAAAATTTGTATCGATTTCTCACGCAAATTAAATTCAGATCAAAATACAACTTAGTTCAGCTGTAGACTGCATAAAAGATATGTTATATGGCTAATATAACCGAGCGTATACTGGGCGTATACGTAATTAAAGAGCTTGCCTGTTTCGTAATAGCTGAAAGGATGCAGGAAAGATTATTCATAGAGTTGACTAAAAGGAAATCTAAAAACTTATTTAAGTATTGAAAGCCCGAAAAAAAAGTGAGCCTTTTTAGATACAGAAAAACACAAATTCGATTCGCTTTTTTATAGGAAGGGAGATAACTTTCCTAGCGGGGATCAGTCAAATGTTAACGATAAGTAAATTGTATATTCAATTCAAACATGGCCCAAAAGAGGGCCAGAAGAAGCAGCATCAAGAATTCCCCCAAGATCCCCCTGGAGGGGATCAGTCAAATGTTAATGATAAGTAAATTGTATATTCAATTCAAACATGGCCCAAAAGAGGGCCAGAAGAAGCAGCCCCAAGAAACTAACAAGCTGTTCAATTCACAGACATAAACCCTCATAGGTTGTCTATTTATTGGAGTCACGTTTGCAGTTTTGCCTTTATAAACTTGATTTATTTATAAACTTGATTGAACTTTTGTGCAATTTGGCTTGTGTACAAAGTCTGATTAAAGCAATCAATGTATAGCCCAGACCTAGATCCAGTTCGATAATGCAATACAAAAACCAATGCAAAATCTCGCTTAAGCATATATGCATATAGGTATACATATAACTGTAGTACTTCTATAGCATTTGCCTTAGCCCCTAATCAATATGCACATACATTGCACTCAATGATGGGACGACTCACTCGAATTAATTCCAACTCTCGAGTCGTGAGTATTCACATGTACGTACATACATATATTTGTTGAAATAATGCAAATCGAGTAGTCGTTAATGCCGATCGACCCCGCCGTCATTTGTGCTCAGAACAAAAAGTCTCAGTTTACGATGAATCATCGTCGGGGGAGAAACCACCAAAATGTATATATATTATAATGGGCTAATTATTCAATTGCAAATGAAATATAACTATGTTGGGTATTATCTAATTTTGGGCGTCAATTGTCAAATGTGTCTTAAGTATTTTTGTTTTAAAAGCAATTATAAAGACATAAAGCTGAATTATGTCAAATTGCTTCAGATGATGATTATGATGACGAGGTATTTCTCGTGGGGCTTAGGTCTATATATAGAACTGTGCGATTTAACCTTTGTGCGGCTTGATGGCTAATAGCAAATGCCATTGGCTGTGTGTGTGTGTGCGTGTGGCTTAATTGACTTAGCTGCGACGCAAATACAAAAGATGTTGCAAAAATAGCACCACCCTCCCCCGCACCGACGGGCGAATGACCGCCCGCAACAACATCAAAGCCAACAATCGATGGCCAGCTGCTGGCTGGGGGTTTGCCCCGTCTATTTATATACTAGACGTGACCCCAAAGCTCTGCCACGAGCTGGCTCTTGCATTGATAAGCAGCAGGAGCCAAACAAACAAATCCAAAGGCACAAAATAACAAGTGAACCGTAGAGTTCGCTGCCTGACTGCGAAATACCCTGTACCCTGTACATGCACTGTACGCCAATAAGAAATTCCTTTTTAAAACCTAATATGAAAACCGCTTATTATCGATTTGGTTTTTCTAGTGCTTACAAACTGCGAGATATGCTCAAAAAATCGAATACGAAAATCGATTGTTATCGAATTGGTGTTTCTGGTACTTATACGCCTGACTGATACGAAAATCGATTTTTATCGATTTGTTGTTTATAGTACTTATAAACTGCGAGATATGCTCAAAAAATCGAATACGAAAATCTATTTTTATCGATTTTATAGAAACGAAGCGAGTTATCATTGATTTAAAATCAGTTTTACAACTCATGTAAACGAAGAACTGTTTGAAAATTACAAGGCTAACAATATTAATGTGCAACAGACAGACAGGTAAAGTTGGAAATCTGCTGACCTGGAAAGTATATATGTTATGGCATCATTACGTTCATTATGCTCTCCTTCTTTAGGCATTTCAAACGAGTGCACAGGGTATTCGAATGCAAACTATAGAGCAGATGGAAATGTACAAAAATCCAACTAAAACTGAAACGTTGACTGACTCGTGTCTCATGTCTGACTGACTGACTAAATGAGTGTACCACGTCCGTTGGATGTTCGTTTCGTCAGTTACAACTGACTGCATCCATCTCTCAGCCACCCCTCTCTCTCTCTCTCTTTCTGACACTCTTTGTCTCTCGGATTTACCTAGTGCCGTCTCTATTTGCTGGAGGGGGGGCTATTATCAAACCACATCCGCTGTGCAGCAGAAATGATATATATACATATATACTTGTTTGTATACGGCAGACTCAACAAACAGCGGATATAGAAATATCAACTTGAATTAAAGCTTGAAGCAATGAGCATAACCAAGAAGCGAAAGCAAGCTCGTACATTTTTTTGTGGATGCACTTTTTGGTTCCCATATCTCAGTGTATAAATGGGGGCTTGAGAAATATGCATATGCATATATTTACATACATAAATCAACTAAACTTTACAAGTGATGAATGAATATAATATACATTCTTTTTTTTTTTTGACAAGTGAGTGTATGCAATTGATATATTCTCTCGTGAGTTTGTACAGATTAAAGTGGAAGTTGACAGATTCGGGCTCAAATAACGATACTGTGACATCTTGTTTGAGATAACAGATCGTCGTTATATGTACTAATAAGTTTGTCTATCGAATTAAATTAGTTTAAGGAACAGATTTAATTACCACTCAATTGATATATCAACTTTTAGTTGCCATTTTTTTTTTTAGCTTAACTCTGGTTTTATAAAAGATATGTTTATCATAATTAGTATAACACTTTTTGACTATCTAATTCCCTTAGAAATTTGAGCTTGGAAGCTTTAGCCTCGATATAGCTGGGTAACTCCATTGAGTCGGGCCTTCAGTTTGGCTCCCCCGAAGGTGTTCTCAAGTGTAAATACTTGATATTGATTGCCACTGAAATGCTCTTGTTTTCCATGCCATTGGATGTGTCTATAGTTTCCAAAATATTTACACATAATTGCTGTTGACATTTCTCGAGACACGCACAACAACAACAAAAACAAAAACTAAGCCTATTTAGTCTTAAGCATATGTATGTAAATGTCTAATGCATGGGTTATAAATAGTCCATCCAAATGCTATCAAAATCAAGTACAAAACACGCTGAATCCAGTTGAGATGGGTTAATGTTAATGGGTGGCGGGGTTTGGGGGGACGGGTAAAAAAACTGTGCGCATAAAATTGGCGTAGGCTCTATTTAAATTGTTGTTATTGTCGGAATTTTTGTGGTGGGTTGGGCTAACGACAACAACAACAACAACAACAAGAGGAATAAATAGCTTGTGGTTTTTGTTATTCGTTCGATACTCTTGCAGCTAGTAAAATATAGAAATTACTTGTGTGTCGGAAATAGTTACGATAAATTACGCATTTCTTTGGTGAATCAAAATTTAAAATAATTTCGTCAATGAGTTTACGGCGCACAACATTTTTTACTAAATTAAAGCAATTGATATTGGAGAATACCGGAAATCAAAATTGTTATATCGAATGGTACTTAAAAGAGAAACTTTAAATAGATTATCTTAACTTTTTCTGAATGATTTTCGCCAATTTATTTGCTCTCAACTCAACTTCTTTATCTCTAGTCACAGGCAAGAGTATCGACACTTCGGCTTGGCAACGCCTAACATTTATCAGCTTTGCTTCTTTGTCGCACACTTTTTATGCGCGCGTCTTTTTGTGCGCGAGCTCGTAGACAGTTGGGTTTTATTCGCAGTTTTACCATTTGAGATAGACTTTTTTCCTTGGGAAAATGCCGCTGAGACGTTTGTAATTTGCACGCTGATCCAATTGTTTTGATTTGTTTGCACTGTTTACTTTACGCTGGCGATTCGTTATGGTTGCGATAAGATGAATGTGGAAAGCAAAATCAATAAATTTACAGCTCCCTTATTTTTGGTGCTTATCGTAAGCTGAGGCGAAATTGATGCGCATGTGGATACGATACGATACGATACAATGCGAATACGATACGATTCGATACGAGAAGCTTTAACTGTAACTCTGGCTTTTTGACAGTTGCTTTGTTGTTTTATTCTTGGCTACGCACCGCAAGCGGCTGCAGGCACAGCGCCAGCTTCTTTGCACTAGACGCTGAAGATGATGATGAGTCAGTCGGTCAGCTGTGGGCAGGGGGTGGGCTGGGCTATGGCACGTACAACCCCTGTTTATACGAAGGGTTCGGTTTCGGGTTCTGGTTCGTTGCACTACGTTCAATTGGCAGGCGCGTCCTCCTTATGTTTATGTGTCTGTCTTCAACTATTGCTTTGCTTTCTCATATATACATATACACACACACACACACTTGCACATACACATACATATGCATGTATGTATGTAGTATGTATTGCACTTTATCGCGCTGTGCGCCTTTTGGACAACCCGCGGCGTCTGCTTGTAAATTTGTCGATTTACTTATTTATTTTCACCTTCTTAACATACACAAAACGAACCAAACAATTAGCCGCCGATTTTGTATGCATTTTACACTATATTCCTTGAACGATAGATAATTGTGAACATTTTATACAACATTTCATTTTTGTGGGGGAGGTGGCGGGCTTCCGTATAACGTATAATACACGACACAAAACACTGGGGGAAAAAGTTCTCTGGCGAGACAGTGACGGGACAACCGCCGCCAACAACTGTTGAAAACGCACTCAGCGGCCAGGTCGACCCGAGATCCGTGACAGCCCCAACATCGCCGTACACACACAGCACTCGGCTTTTGTTCTCGTTCTCTCGCCCTCTCTCTCTTTCTCTCACTCTCTCTCTCTTAGAACAATACGAGCGAGGGTTGGTCGAGCGACCTCTGCCGACGCGTTGGCGTATGCACAGTACTCTCCCACTCCCACTCTCCCCCCGCTGTTCGCTCTCAGGTAATTTGTCTGGGTCGTGGGAATTTCGCACCCACTCGTATATTTCCCATTACGCTCTGTTTATGTTTTGATGGACGGCTCTCAGTCTCGTACGTTTCTATTAGAAATTACGCAGACGCTCAGTGCCTCTCTTTGACATGCAAGTGTTGGCAAGTGCGTAAATGGGGAGCGAAATTTAAATAGAGTGGACAATGCTCTCTTAAATATTTATAAAACAAATTACACGCGCTTAAATGGCTTGATTTCTTTACTTTTAGCCAATAATGTATATGATAAATATTAAATTAAAATGGACTATCATGTTAATGGACATATTCATTTACACATAAGTCATATAAAATTATTATTTAGTTGTCCTAGGTATGAGAAAACATCACAATAGCATATAAATATTTGCTTTTAATAGTTTTCCAAGCGCTGTTCAACAATATTTATTAGCCTCTTAAAACTTCAAGACAATTCCCCAGCATTTATCCAAATTGATTTATGTTTTAAAAAAATTCAAACATTTTTCCACGTTTCGTTTGGCATGCCAAGTAACCGCAGATATTTGTATTCGTTGATATAATTATGTAAATGAGCAGAGCCAGGTTTTGGCATGGTCTAGTCTTTTATGCCCAATATAAAAGAGAGAGCCGCTCAAACGTGAATACGATAACACGTAAATACAGAAATTAATAAACCTTTATTACGTAAACGACAATCAAACGATTTGTTTTCTATTTGTTGGGCATAAAAGGGACCACAACACAAGTCAATTGATCAATTAAAGATGCACCGACAAAAGCCAAGGCGGCACTGTAAAAAACCAATCAACGGTTGCACTTGGACTAACTTTGTAAGCTTGAATTCGTTCACATCTCAAAAGTATTTAATTAAAAAAGAGCTACAGAGCAAGTGACTAAGAGAGAGTTTTACAGTCGCACTCTCATTCAATAAGATGCTGCACTCAATAATCGCCTTTCTATGCGATTCGCATGAAACACATTTTTACGAATAAGCAATCGAATTGAGCTGAGAAAGAAAGGAGATTAAATTTAAAGCAAGGGGCGCAAAACAATAATATACTTCATAATAATTGACATATTATAGATTATTCTTTAAATGTGAATCAATAAATAGTTAACTTTTAAAGTGAATTCTATTCGCAACTTAAAAGCTGATACACAAGATGACACAGTATAAACAAAATATGTATTTAATTATTTAGCAAAGCTTTTGGAGCTTCATATTCGGCCAGACAGCGACTATTTATAGGCCATATTAAATATTTGCCAAAGCAATTAGCAGAGCAAATAGGTCGTATATGGAGCTGAGAGCCTGCCTTTCTAGAGCTTAAAATAAAAAAAACAGCTGACCTTAGAGTTACTTTCGACTTACTTTCTATGCATTTTCGATACAATTTCTATGGTATTTCCAGCTTGTACATATATCTATATATATAGTAACTACTTTGGTACTCACCAGACTGTCGGCCACATTTTGACTCATTATACGAGTACACGAAGTTGGGCAGCTGCTGCGATTACTTCAATGTGCGTGCTTAGACTTTGGTAAGATGCAATTGCTGCTGCTTCTGTTGTTGCTGATGATGATGACTGGTATCTGTTGGATACGCGCATTTTGACTTGCCACAGCTAACATCTAACGACGACACACAGATACAGATACAGATACAGATACAGATACAGCCGCAGATACAGACGCAGATATAGATGGACGTTTGCTGGAATTGTGCAACTGGCGCTGGCTGCGGGCAAGCGGATGTTGTTGCGGCCAAAACTTGCAATGATGGGTTCGATGCGAGGCACAAAATTTCAAGTTTTCTTTTGTAACCCAACTGTAAGAAAGCGACGGAGAAGAAAAAACAAACAACAAGAAATTGGTAAAAGCAGTGAAAAGCATTTAAAACTCGCACGAAGTTAACGCGTTTTCTATACGCTCAATGGAAAGTGCGCGACGTCTCGACCGTGCCAACGAAATGGCCAATAAAATGCGTACATAGCCCATAGTCCAAAGGCCCTGTGCCCCGTGCCCCTTGCCCCACACCGGATTGCAGACGCACACCCAAGCGACACTTAGCGCCCCACGGTAACAACTAAGCGTACTCGCTGCGCTGCGCTGCTCTGCTCTGCTCTGCGCTGAGCTGATGTACGTGATGAGCAGCTGATTTACGATATTAGGCGACAGCAAGAAGAAGCAGCAGCAGCAGCAGCAGCGGCTACTGCGCACAGTGGAATCAACAAGCTGATTATTGCATTTATGTTAATTTGCCAAATAAAAAATCTTTTAAGTACCAAATCTAATTCTTTTTTTATCAGCAAGCTCATTCTCAGAGAAAAGTCATGAAAGCTGACCAAATTATAACTTTAAATATGTTTGCTTGATCTTATTTATGTTCTATCTTTGTCATAATACACAACAAACAACATTTAGCTCCTTTTATAATTACTCTTTCATAATATACTTGACTTTTAGCTACTATGAACCTTGAATAAGTCAACTTAATATGAATACGGAAATTATTATTCTAGATTTCAAACTCGGATCCTCGCTAGACAACTGAAGCCCGAATGACTCGTTTACTTTGACAGCTGTCCACCAAGGATATGGGCTTTACTTAAAATTGATTAGGTTTTATAAGTAGTTTGTTATTTTATTATCCCAATAAACAAACTATAATGTAATAAATATGGTTTGAGCTCATTGCAGCTCAAACAATCCTGTTAAGTTTTTAGCAATTTATTTATTGCCTTAAGATAACATCCAAGATAACAAATAAAAACTGAGAAAAAAAATGTATTGTAAATATTGCATAAATGTATTGTAAATATATAGAATATATATATAATTAAACAAAATTTTATCGCAAATTCTGCTACGAAAATATCAATTTGGACTTGAACATTAAATTTGGCTGCTGTGGATTATCTTGCTCTTGTACCACTGTGCGACTACGATCACGCGTCAACGGCGACGCTTGTCAGTCGACCAAATGATGAATTTCTTTTTTACCACTCGTAATCGTAGTGCCCGTCGTACGAAAGATAGCGGGGCTTGTTGAAATGTTTTAGCAAACGCACAACGCTTATGAAAGTTTTTTTTTTTTTTTTGCCCATCTTCTCTTGTTTTTGGCCAGTTTCACGTGTTTCTTTAATGTTGTTGCTGTTGTTGTTGCATTGGTATGTGTTCTGAATAGCTGAATGGGACACATGGAAAAATGCGAAAAATGTTTGGGCAGACAATGCACAAGCAAAACAAAAGAGCGAACAGGTAGAGTTCAGTGTTTCAACGAATATCGTAAAAAATGTTTGAGAGATCAGGTGTGTTTTTGTGGCTTACAGAGCATAAGCGAAACTTAGCAGCATAAGAGAGCGCTTAAGTGCTTTCAAACTTAGCAGCATGAGAGCGGCTAAGCGAATATCGTAATTTTAAGAGCGACACAGTGCAGAATATATTTCTGTTGATTTCTAGTCAATCTACATGAATTTGTTGGTAAATTTGAGTATATTTGACATGAGCAGAATTTAGCTTTGATACGTGAGTATGTTAATATGCAAATATCTGATATTACAAACTCTCCTGTCTAATTCTTTCATTTAAATAGTCGGTAGCTAGATCATTAAGGGCAATTCTTTTTGCCTAAACAAGCCATCATCAACCTCGATTGCCTTGGAGGTTAACTGAACCTTTTCAAAACAGACTCGGAAACGGACTGTGAGCCAGATCACGGCCAAAGCAGCTCTTAATTATGAGTAAAGTATGTATATATATGTATGTTCTTATACTGTGTATTGCCATGTTAGGGGCGATCTTTTGTGAAACTAATTCATTAGCATTTTGAACAAATCAAAAAAACAAGCTCTGCTATCTTTGCTCGCTCAGCTGCTCAAAGTTTTTGTTTTTTGTTTGTTGCAAAAAAAAATTAGTTAAAAATAAAAAAGAGATTTGTTCACTTGCTTTTACACCTACGCACGATTGAGCGAGGCCCAAATACGATATAAGCGCACGCACACACATATATACAAAAACGTATACAAAACGTATGTATATGTGCATGTGCTGCTCTGCTTGTTTTTGTTGTCACCGTGCAATATTTTGAAATGTAAACGCATTTTTATTGCTGTTATTATTTTTGGACAACAACACACGGCCTGGCCTTTTACGCTCCAGCAGAGCACGGCTTAGCGCGCTCTCTCGCGCGCTCTCTCTCTCTCGCTCTTTCAATGATCTCATTGTTGGTATGCGTGTGTGCAGCTCTCATACTTATTTACGATATCAAATTGCTTTATTAGCCAAAAACGAAAAAAAACCCAAATAAATGAAAAAAAAATCACAGCTAAATCTCTCTCTCTCTCTCTCTCTGCATAGTTTTTTTTTTTTGGAATTTTTTGCTGTTTTGATTTATTCTTCGCGATGATTTTTGTCTTCACACGCGTTTTGAACGTGTTTATATGCGACACAAGATTTGGCCAACAAAGCAGCAAAAAGTAAACGAAAAAAATTAAATATTCTTTAAGTTGAATCTTTTCTTGATGATAAATTTGCTCTATTACCGTAAAATATTTTATATTTATAGCTTGAATTTGTTAATAATTATTTGGCAAATGCAAAATCTGTTCAGATCTTTTTTGCAGCTTTTCTTTACTTTCAAAATTGTTTTGTATACCAGTTTTAAATATTTCGCCGTATATTGTAGTTTTTTTTTATGTTTGTCTCTTTGGAAAACACAGAAAACACGTTGCAATTGGCAACTGGTTTACAGCTATGCAACAGCACACACTCACACTCACACACTCGCACAGGCACTCGACACATACACACATACACACACACATATATAAATATATATACGTGCACGCACACAGCTACACAAGTGCAGGTGAGTAAATGGCAATTTACCATATTTTTTAAGTATAAATTTTCTCATACATTATGAGCACTTTGTTTTTTTGGTTTCTTGGTATTTGTTTAGGGGCGCGCGCCAACAATTTTTGCAATTAATTTTAATAATATAATTTTAGATGTTGCAGAAACTTTTCGTTTACCTTTTACATTTCTATTTTGGCCTGGCTGTGGCTGCTGTTCGGCTACTTTTGTGCACTTTTCACACACAAACTCGAAACAGAAAATGCCATTAATGATATGTGCTTGTTGCTGTTGTTGTTGTTGTTGTTGATCTTGTATTTGTTGTTGGTGCTGGCGCTTTTGTTGTCTTGAAAATTTTCGTTACGCTTTGGCAGACATTACGAGCCACTCTCCGCACTTTCGCGTCCCGCTTCACTCTACCACAACGCGCCAGAGTTGGCTTATTTGAGACCGAAACGAAAACGAGCGCCGACAGCGAACACGTCTATCTTTGGTAACACGCAGCTTGCGACTGAAAGCCAACACCGAAATCGAACACCGCAGCCGCACACACACTGAAGCTGGCGCTTCGAGAGTGCTGTGCACCCAACTCTCTTAAATCAAAGAGCGCACGAGTGGCGAGCGGCTCGCAACGGACAGCAACAGACGATCGCCGAATGCTGACCTGCAGCCAGCGCGATGATCGTAAATTGATCTTTAAAAGCAAAGACACGATCATAGGTCTGATATTTAATGAACACTCAGCACAAGTGTTAGCTGAAGGCTCTACATATGTATATATATTTCAAAAAAAATGTTAAATGGAAAAATGTGAACTGAAGAACTTCTGTATTAAAGAGATTAAAAGCTTTGGCTCATTCTAAGATTTATCAAAACGTTTTTTAAATGTATAAATGTGCGGAATAAATTTAAAATTTGTTTAAAATCAAAAATAAATGTGCAAATGTACAATTAACGGTCTTCTGCCAACAACTTTTCACACAAAAATACGCTACTTTTATAAAATTTTCAAGATTTTACATACTGCATGTATCTTTAAGGCATATCCACATCCGACTCACAGGTTAAACAAACTTCTGTACAGACGCTTTTTCACCATGTCGAACATGATCATGTTATTGATGAGCTGCTGCAGATTGTTGCGGTAGGGCGACATGTTGCCCGTCGCCTGGAAGCTATGCTTGGCGCTCTGCAAACGTTTTTTTATTTTGGTCACATTGTGCAGTTCGCTAACAGAGTACTCCGAATGACTGGAAAGCATGGGCGAGAGCAGTGCAGCAATATCGAAGCTTAGCTGGAACTTGCGCCCAACGTGCGTCACTTTATCGCTTCCAATCAGCATTGTGTGGGAAGCATCTCGTGAGCCGGTGAGCGCATGTTTCTGAGATGACGCCCGACCAGGACGATTGCCCTGTGACGACTGAAACGAAATAGAAAATGAATTATATTAATATATACTGCAGGCAAGTAGCTTATGCCGACTCACCAGTAATTTTGGTAGCTGCTCCGGCAGACTAAAATCACATTTTGGCTGCAGCACAAAATGTGCGCCCAGGCGTTGTGGCGTGTATTGATAGCCTTGGGGAGTTCGTTGGAAGCACGGATGAAGCTCCAATAATTTCAGGCGCTTTTTAATTGTTGCCGTCAACGGGTATGTGTGCACCTTGGGCAAAACTGAGTTTAACATGATTTCGCAGAGTTCCATTGATGTATATTCGTTGAATGCTTCATTAGTGGAATGAAAGTCCGCGTATACGGCGGGATCCTGTATAAACAGCAAACGGGCTGATGTTGTTGCATATTCAATTAGAGCCTTGTGCAATGGCGATAGCGTAGTGTGCACTGGTGTTGATGTGCCGCCAGGTGCAAAGTGTCTTTCGAAATTATGAACAGAGCTGGTTGTGTTCATTTTGGGTTTAGAATGTGCCGTTGTCGAGATTGCAAAAACGAATTCGATTTTAAAAATTATGTACACACTTATCGATAGCACTAGGATGTTCGATCACTTGCCATTTGCCTATCGAATACATTTGGTAATGTTTATTTTTGTATTTGCCGTGCGCGGTCACACTGCCATATTGAAAAAATGGACGAAGAGCTGCAAACAATAAACAACGATTTAAACGATGCCTTGTCCAAGTTACTTAAGAGCGCTCCGAAGTGCACGGGAAGCGCATTGCAGCAGCGCAAACGGAAAATTGCCACGCTAATCCAACTGCACGTGCGGCACCTGCAACAGACGGTGATTGTGAGCCGCAGGCGTCAACAGCAACGCACCCGACGTCGCCTCAAACAGTTGCGTTCCATTTTCATGCAGCAAATGATCGAGCTGCAGTCGAATTATATGCAAATGTTCGTCATGCTACGGATGAAGCACGCCCAGCTGCAGCACATCGAGGAAATGGAGGCAGTCATGGACAACATTAACACGGCCGCTGCCGAATCCGAGCTGGCAACTGAAACAACAGTTGGCCCAACGCTATTTTGGGAGCACACAATACCCCAGTACAGCGATGAGCAGTTTCTGGACAGCTTCCATGTGACCCGCAGCACATTTCAGTCGCTCTGCAGCCAATTGTCCTCCAGCCTGCGCTCGGTGCCAGAGCTAGCGTCGACTGCGGATGACATTGCGCCGGACAAGTGCGTCGGCCTTGCCCTCTACTTTCTGGCTAGCGGCGAGCGTATCTCCATTATATCGGAAAAGTTTGCCCTGCCGCGCGCACACACCATAAAGTGCCTGAAAGTGTTCTGCAATGCCGTCATGACCAGCTTGGGCAAGGCGTTGCGCCTGCTGCCCCAGAGCGAGGCGGACTGTGCGAATGTGGTGGCCGGTTTCCAGCGGGAATGCAACATGCCCGCGGCGCTTGTCGGTGTCCTGGGCGTTTGCTGCATTCCGCTCCGCGGCCCGACTAAGCAACACGTTGGCTCGAGTGCCGCGCTGCGCATGGAATTCCTTTTGGATGATCGCATGCTCTTCCGTGAGCTGCGCCTGGGCAACGCCAATGGCACCAAGGCGCCGCTGCCACCCATGTTTGCGGATGCACCAAACTCACTCACACAGCTGCCGCCACGCTGCATCAACAACCGTTCGGTGCCCGCCTTTGTGCTGGCGCCTGCTAACCAAAACTATCCACTGCGTCCCTGGCTGCTGCAGCGCTATTCGGAGCCGGCGGCGCCGCACGAGTACGACTTCAACGAGGTGGCCGACCATCTGCAGGAGCTGAGCGACTGCGCCATGCATCGTTTAATGTCACGCTGGCGCTTCCTCAGCCAGCCACTGGACATCAGCTTCCAGACCGCATCCTGCATTATTACAGCGGCCACTGTGCTGCACAATCTGCTCGAGGAACTGAGTGAGCCCCATATGCTCGAGTGGGGCAACACGGTGGACGTATCGAGGTTCAAGTCAGCGCCAATCGATCCAAAGCCGGACACCAGCGCGGATATTGAGCATGCCTTAGACGTACGCGATTTTCTGGCGCGCACCATCAGCTCCACGGAAATATGAATGCCATTGGCTAGAGTTTAAGACTATAGTAAGGGTTAAGGGTCTACATATGAAGGGGTTCCAGACGAAGGTTAAATGCTCTTGTAATTTATAAATTTAAAAGCTAGATTATGCTCTGCAAACTATTAAACTGCATTTTCACAGTGTAGAGTATTGTTAACTGCCAATAAATTTTAAATTAAACAAATCATTAAGTTGGATTGTTTGGACAAATAGTTGTTCAGATGATTTGTATTGGAGCCCAACTCTGAATTGTTTTGGATAGTACACATGCTTAATATATCATAAACAATTCAGAGCTGTCCATAACAAATTAACAAGCCATTAAACAAATGGTGAGCAAACTAATTTAAAAATGTTTCTTATAACTGGCATAAGGTATAACTATTTAAATGAACAAATTGATTGTCATATGCAATCCAGTTACGTACATTGATCAAATGTAAAGTTTATTTATATAAAATATTTGTTTGCAGCGAGCACACAACAATTTAGTACAGACGCTGGGGTGGGCCCATCGATGACTTGATGTGCAGGGAGCGAACGTTCTGCCAGTTCTTCTTCAGCAGCGAGACCAAGAAATTGATCGACAAGCTGACGTTTTGGGAGAGCTCGTCCTGTTTCATGCCGACGTGTCCAACGGCAACGGACAGACACAGAACCTTCTTCATCTGGAACTTGATGGTGGACTTGACCTCCTCGATTTTGCCCATCATCGACTCCTGGTGCGACAAAAGACCAGGGAACTTGCCAGCCTTGTTCAGGCCGGGGCCCAACAGACGTGGAATTTGCTTGATCAGCGATTCGGAGGCCAGGAAGGCGTCATAGGACTTGGCCAGTTTCTTAACCAGCTTCTTGTTCTTGTTCAGCTTCTTGAGTGCCTCAGCATCCATGAACTCAACGCCATTGGCCTTGGCCTCGTCGCAATGCTGCTGATCGCCCAGAATGCACACCTTCATCTTAGGGCGTGGGATGTGCTTCAACCTGCACGATAAATACATAAATCAAATGTTTAGCGGGCAGAACGGAAACAAATTCGAGCTGGCAGGCAGAACAATGCAATTGTCAGAAAACTTACACAGCTCGCAGAGGAGCAGGCATTTGTAATTATGTCTTAACTAAGGGGTTCGGCACCATTGCTGGTGCCTACTCAATTTGATTTTAAGACCCTGAGTGCAGGTCCGCCGTAATGTGGTGTGAGCACAAATACGACTGCCTAACGCTGAAGCCAGTTCCCAGTGGGAATCATATGGTTCGCAGCGCAGGTATTTTAGCCAACGTACTTAACAGTGCCGGAGAAACGCTTGTCCTTTTGGGGATCATAATTCTTCAGGCCAATTTGGAGTTCCACCGTTTCCAGGAAGCCGCGCTTCTTGGTGAGCGAATGCTCCAGAATACCACTGACGCCCTCAAGGAGCGTGTCACGGGACACTTTCGACCTGTAATTGGAAATGAGGTTTATTATTTCTCAGTCGTACCAAATAGACGTGTAAAGTAATGTTTAAGAATTGAGCAAATGGTTGCAACTTGTATAAGTAGTCACATATTTGGCACAAAATTTAATTTTAATATTGCAATCATTTCCAAACTGATGTGGTCATTGATATTGGTCCAAAAAGTTGGTTTCTGATTGCCAATTACAATTAATATAATGTTAAACGTATTGCGCGGCTTAGCATATAGACATATAGTTCCTTAATTTCATTAAAGTATTCCAGATGCATATCGTTTTCAAGATTTGTTCCGTCCACTCATGTGGTCATTACAATTTTGGATAAAAAGCTGGTTTTTAATGGTCACATACAATAAATATTGCGCAAAACACATATATCGGCACACAATATATCATTATGCTTCGTTATTTTCTTTAAATTATTCGCGATGTATTTATTTTTTTAAGATTTTTCAATAAAATCACTTACGCCATGTCTACACCTTGCGATGTGCGTTTCACGAAAGAAAGAGGAGATTCGCAGCGATAATACTCCTAGATATCGATACATTTTTTAACAGAGTTGCTGCGATGCTAACTGTAACAGTTGCTCATGGGTATATCGCCAACAGCCCATGGGTATATAGCAACAGGGTGGCAACGCTTAACTTTGCATATGTAGTTATAATCCATAAACAAGTTTTTAATTAAACGCAGCTGTTTTTTTTAAGTTTGACCAATTTCAAAGTCTTGTAGCTTTTATGTGCACATTACTTAATTTAAACGGTAGGTGTCTCAGTCATAAACTATAAACAAAATACTTTCTCAAACATTACATACATACATACATATTTTTGCAGCTAACGCTCCAACTGGCAAAACAAAGAGCTTTCGCAGAGCAATGAAAGAGAGTGGTACCTGACTTTTGGCGAGAGTGCAAGAGAGCAAACGTTTCGTGGTCAAACAAAACAATTGCTTTCACTATCTCCACGCTCGCATTCGCGTTGGGCCTGCGTTGCGTTTTAAAATAAAACTTCTGTCGGTGTGTGCCACTGTGATTGTGCCAGTGAGTGATGTTCCATCGCTGCAATATACGAATTATATAATTTATCCAAAAGTGCACTAATTGATTTTCCAACAGCCGCAAAGAACCGGCAATTTCCAATCTCCAGTTAGCAGCGACTCCAGCCCTTGGAAATGGCGCGTTTGATTGAGAGCAATGTAAGTTACGAAACAAGCTGTGCAGCGCAGCTTTTGCATAATTTTTGGTACACCCGTTTTGATATACCCGCATTCTCATCACACACGCCTATCACATTTAGCTAGGCTATTTCATAATTCTTAAAAATATACATTTGTATGTGCGCATATGTGTGCCTGCCATTTGGCATCTCCCACAAAATAATGCAAAGAAATATGCGGATATACCACAAAGGTATTTATAACAACAAACATACATTCCTTGCCCGTCGCTATAAAATTGAGTTCATCATTCTTAAATGACGTCACGCCTTTAATGCTAATTTGTATTCAATATGTCTTCTGAACAGCAAGACCAGCTCTGAGCATGGAAATAATTCTGGCTTTAGTAGCAGAATTGAAAACATGAAAATCTGTTGCAACATTTTAACATAAATAACTTTTATGTGAAAATAACAGTTTTTAGTGTGACTGAAAAATAACAATTTGGCTCATCTCTAGTTTGTACAGTGCATAAAGGTTAATATTTATGTATGTGCCTCACGCTCGGCTCATTTACTTACAGACATATCAGCTGTTCAACCAGCACAACTGCTTTTGTACAACTCTCTTTACACACAGCAGCTCTCTTGAAAAATGTACCCTGTTACGCTCACATTAAATTTTACTGTCATGCTCTCAGGCAATCTGAACTTTTTGCTTATCATCGTTAGAAAAATTCCGCTAGCGTACACTCTACTCTACACTGCGAAGCATGAATGCTCGAATTTCATATACATCAATTTGAATTAAATTTAAAATATAAAAAGTCTTCTCTATAAATATACAAAGCAACAGCTTGATAACAGTCAAATCGCAGGCAACCTTACTAGCTACATCACTGCAAATTAGGTTATAGAATTAACTACTAAAATATCTGCCTATGCCTAACTTGATCGCTTACTTCTAACACGCACTGTCCGCATACGCGTGCTGACTCGGCACCGAGCCCTCGCGTTGACTCCACCGTTTCGACTTCATTTCAATTGGAAATTGTGCGCGGCGACTGTCGGTTGATCAAACGTTCGCTATTTCTAATTGTCGGTCAAGTTGAATATTTGAATAATTTCAATTGGAAATACATAATATAAAGCAAGCCATATTCATCAAGTGTGTGAAATATGACAGATTTCGATGTAAGTCCAACAAATATAATTGGAGAGAAAATCAACGCAAGAGCTGCCACGCACTGGCCACGCTCTCTTTCGTTCCCTGCGTGCGCTCTCTGTTTATCTGTGCGTGACGTCATTGATAATTATGCATACATATGCGCAGCGCATTGGATGTCTGCCTGCCTGTGCAATATGAAATGTTGCAATAGTGGACTACGTTTTCAAGGTCACGGCCAAGACGTTATGGGTGTCATTTGGTTGCTTTGCAAATGAAAATAACCTCAATTATGTTAGACTTTAAAAAGAAGCCCTCGCTTTTGTGGCTTCATAGCGAGGGCTTAAAGTTCACCAAAGCCACAGAAAGATAACGGGCTCAAATTTCATATTGGCCAACATAAATTGGGGCTAATACTTGTGGTAATCAGTTGTAGTACGAAAACATTGCAAATGATGTGCATACATGAAACGATGTCAACCGACTTTTTGAACTTTAATCAGCAAAGGCATCTGTCGGGCAAAATAAATAAATGGAATATCACGTAATGCCACGAAAGGTCCAGAAATAGTATAATATTGTCAGATCTATTCGATTATAACAAACGATTAATCTGTTGATCCTACATAACTCAGTCTAAATTTTAGTCTCTTTGTGTAATTCTCTACTTACAGTTCGTTCCGATTGCCGTGGGCGTCGTAGCCGTCGTTGCCGGCGCTTTGATTGTCCACTATTTCATCAACAAGAAGTCAACGAAGCCGCGCCGCGAGCCAAACCGAACCGCTCGACTGCGCACACTTGTGGATCCCAATGATAAGTATCAGCTGCCGTTGATCGAGAAGGAGGTGCTCAGCCATGATACGCGACGTTTCCGCTTTGGACTGCCCTCCAAGCAGCATATACTCGGCCTGCCCGTGGGCCAGCACATACATCTGATTGCAACGATTGACAACGAGCTTGTCATACGGCCGTATACGCCCATTTCGTCTGACGAGGATGTGGGCTATGTGGACTTGGTTGTGAAAGTGTACTTTAAGGACACGCATCCCAAATTCCCAGCGGGCGGCAAAATGACGCAGCATTTGGAACAGATGGAGCTGGGCGAGAAGATATCGTTCCGTGGACCATCGGGTCGCCTGCAATACCTGGGCAACGGCACCTTCTCCATTAAGAAACTGCGCAAAGATCCACCCAAACATGTGACCGCCAAGCGTGTCAACATGATAGCCGGCGGCACTGGCATCACGCCCATGCTGCAGCTGGTGCGCGAAGTGCTCAAGCGCAGTGACAAGGACAAGACCAAACTGGCGCTGCTGTTCGCCAACCAGGTGAGTTCATAGAGAGGCTTCTTAAGCTCACTTTCTAAAGTCACAACCCTTGTTTTGCAGAGCGAAAAGGACATTTTGCTGCGTGAGGAGCTAGATGAACTGGCCAAGAAGCATCCCGATCAGTTCAAGGTCTGGTACACCGTGGACAAAGCGGCCGAAGGTGAGCTGCGGCTTCCAAAGTGCCGCCCAAATGTCGCATCGAATCAGAATCATGTTCACATTAAGCTTAGATGTATATCAATATGGAATATCCAACAGACTTTCAGTTGCACTTTTTATAAGTTTATCTCAATTCTAGAAGGAAAGAGGAAACATGCAATTAATGTAAAAATTAGGCTTATGATTGAGCAAATGTTTGACTGTTGTAAAACTAAATTGATTAGGGAAAGAAAGATTAGGAAAATAACTTTCAATCGTTTGTTAAAGGAGAATTCGATTATAATTTAACAATTTAACTTAGAAAGCCTTTAGTTTAGTTTGTCTTTTATAAACTCACCCAAAGATATGCATGTTACATCATAATTAGAATTCATTCGCATAATCATTTCATCGATTCAGTGTAGCAATTGTAGTGCTAATGCTAAAAGCCATCTATTATGTTGAGAACTTTTGTGTTTGCTCCTCGCCACATGCTGCCCTCCAACGGATGCCCCGCACGGCGCACGCACGCTACATAGCCTGGTTGTACAATACCGGGCACATCAACGATGAGATGATGGGCGAGCAGCTATATCCGCCCGATCCAGAGACGCTGTGTCTGCTGTGCGGACCGCCGCCCATGGTCAACTATACCTGTATACCGGGCCTTGAGCGGCTGGGTCATCATTCCGAGCAGCGTTTTAGCTATTAAGTACCTCAGCTAGCATCCGTATAATTTAGTCGCGAGTTTTGATTTCATATCACAATGCAGGGAAAAGGTTGCCGTCGAAACGCAGCTCTCAAGCTAAACCATTTCTAATTTTCGTGAGTTTTCTTATCCCACACAGGTTGGACGTACAGTGTTGGATTTATCAATGATGAAATGATTGGAGCTCATCTGCTGCCGGCCAACGATGAGACGATTGTCCTGCTCTGCGGACCACCGCCTATGATTAACTTTGCCTGCAATCCTGCGTTAGACAAGCTTGGCTATCATCCGGACACACGTTTTGCGTATTAGGACCGATCACCGATCTATATAGGCGCCATAACTGCACATTTGGCAACTCACATTCATTGAAGACAAAACTAGCATTTTTGTTTGTCTATTGCTCTACGCTCAAGAGTTGCATTTGGAATTGACCCAAGAACTAACTAAGTATATAATACTGAGTAGCCTCTGCAGTTATAATTGTGTATGTGTGAGGGTGTCCGGCTTCATGGGAATTCGGATCACATCGAACAGATGCAACAACTCAATACTTCACATTGTTTTTCATTTTTTCAATAAACAATTGTTATACATATATAGAAGGCAAAACACTTTCAATTTCGTTATCGGATTTACATAAACAATTTGTTGTCGTTGAACTCTGATTTGCAATAATTATTCGATTCAATCGAATCGTTAACTCATGTGCAATCATTCACGAGCACGAGTATGTTAATTTGGGCCATTTCTTATACATTCACGAAATTGTGGTGTAAAACGTGAACTTGTTTAACTCTGAGAGGCCGTAAAACATGGTAATAGAAATATATATGGATGGATACTTCCAGGAAAAGCATTATCATCTTTGAAGAAAACCTTACAATTTATACAGATAATCTATAACTTTATATATATCATCAATGGATCACATTGAACCAAAGCAACATTTATAAATATTATTTTTTAAAATAAACAGTTGACAATTCTGTTAATGAATTTATGTTCAGATTTGTCTCTTTTATGGTCTGCCATTTAATTTTATTGATGGTTTGCAATATTTGACAATAGTTGTATTATATGTAAAAAAAAAGTCCAGAAGGGAATTACATATAAGGTTTGCTGTCCTAAGACATTGATTTATAATAAAAACACAGTTGAACTAAACGTGTAGTAAGCGTCATTATATATAAATGTTTATAGTTAATATAAAAACTATTATTTAGAGAGCGAAATGTAATTAATATTTCATGAAAACTGATATATTTCTCATATTTGTTGCGGGGTTCACAGAACATTTATAGCCTATTTAGTTAGCATATGTGTAGCATAAATATTTTATGGTCTTTAGCTTCGGCCGATTATTAGTATGCATATTTGAAAGACATTGTTTACATACATATCTGGTTATATAAATACGTAAGAAATAATAAAAAATACGACATCGAACAAATAATGAAATCAATAACTTAAAATGTATAAGTAAGTAGCCTAAGATTGTTGGTTACGGTTTTTTTTTCAATTCGATTTATCTTGTGATATGATTTGCTGCTGCGCACGCTTTGCGTGACAAGCTCTCGCCGAGGACCTGGACTTGAACCTGGATCGTATAATCGATCGCACTCCTGTGTTAGCTCATCTTCTTTGTGGTAGCTCATCTCATATATGACCAGTTAGCATATACAATTGTCCAGTAGCTTGCCAAGTGTACGAATTGTGTAGGTGTGGGTGTGGCAGTGCTCGTTGTATCCAGCGTGCGCGTTTGCAGCATGGCAGTAAAACCTTAATGCAGTCGTACTTACACTTACAACGAATAAAACTACTAGAGGGTGTACATTGGAAAACGCTAAACTACAATACAATTTGATCATGGCTGATGCTGATGTAAAAAACACTTAAAACTTATAAAACAAATTGACTTTAGGTTTCATATTGTTGCCTGGCTGCTGCTCTGTCTGGCACTGGCTGGCCGCTTTATAATCCTGTACAATAATATCGATTTCAGATTCGCTCAGTTCAATGGGCTCAATTGTGGCCACTTTCTTGAATCTAAAAACAAAAAGAAACATAGTTAGGCGCAGAACAAAGCTGATACTGATATTGCACAACTTACTTGTCCCTATTGTACTTTTCCCTTATAGCCTGCGTGCTTAGCTCTCTGGCTGACTTGTGCGTCTTGCACAGCGCCACAACTACATGCTTCAATTGTTCCAGTGTGTACGTGGTAATCTCCTCCAGCTGCGCCGTCCACATCTGCATACCAAGAATGTGACGTGCAAATGCAAGCGAAGCAGACGAAATGAGCGAGGGCAAATATTGCATATATGATTCTCCCTCCAAAAGTGACAACTCACAAATGTACTGCAAATCGCAAAAAGAAAATTAGCTATTGCCCAAATCAACTAACTGGTTAGCACCCAAAAGATCACCTACCAATGTCATGTACTTCAGCTTCTCGGGCATATCGCACAGCACGGCGTAGGTGTTGATGAAGACGTAGGGTGTTGGTGTGCACAAGTTGAAGGATAGAATTTTCAGAAACACATTCTCCATGCGCAACACTTGGGCCTTTGTATAGCTGTCGTCAGTGAGAAAGACAAACTCGCCAACATCTGGTGGGTAGATCTCCTCATATTTGCTGTGTGCAAAAACAAAAAGCATACATGAAGTTTGCCGCTAAACAACTGGAACTCTATTTTGAAATGGGTTACTTACGAGGCAATGTACATGGCTGCCGTGCCAACCAATTGCAGCTTGGAGCGCTTCACCGACATCTGGCTGAGGAAGCGATCCAAATATGAGACTGATAAGTACAGAGTCTCCGTGTCCAGTTTGTATTCCTCGGCAACTTCGACCAGCCAATCAACCAGAATGGTGCGCATCGAGTGATTGATGTCAGTTTGGCGACGCATGTATTGCGCTTTTGGGCGATGCTTTTTCTACCAATGAATATAATAGGTAGGGTTAACAAAAGAGTCAATTTCATGTACTACTAATATTAATATGCTAAATATATAATCTGTAAGCATAACTAGAATTTATGAAAATCGCATATAAAAGCTCTACGTTTGACAATGTTTGAAGGTAAAAAATGTTCAATAGGGTTATTGAGACCCATGTATACGGTATCTCATAGTCGAAAGCTTGCTGTCAGATCACAAAATACCTTTTACAAATTTACTCATTTGATTACATATTTATCTTAACACTTCTTTGAACTATTTGTATTGTCTTCTCTCGTCTCCTCCGCTATTCAAACAAGTTGTATTTGGAGTTGCTTCAACTTTTTGAATACACTTGAGACTTGAAAACTTAACTTGTTGGCGACGAACCTCAGCTATCATTTGTGCGCAATCGAATTTACCAATTTTTATTTGTTTATTGGTTATTTTGCAGTACGTGAGCCACATATAAATTTTAGAGGAACGCCACTCCCAGCCTACAAATCTTAGCCAAAAGCGGCAATACGAACACGCTGTACATTAGGTGTTTATTTAATGGGCAGTTTAACGATTATTGGACACGCCAAGCGCCATCGCACATGGTCAATACAGAAAATTGTAGAATTTGGGGAAATGGAGAAAGTATTCCCAATTTTGTGTATTCATTTCTGATAGTTCGTTATTCCTAAGCCCATTGAGCTCTGGTTTACCATGCTTTAAGTGGTTATCGGAAAGAATAAAGCTTAAGGAAAGAGCCTAGAAAATCGATCTATTTATTATATGTCATAAATATTTAAATTTGTGTCTCTCGGGTTGTTGTTGGGGTTGTTAGGCCACAAACAAGCAAACAGGGAACCAAACAACAATCGACCCGGCAACCGAGCAAACAAACTCAAAGCTCAAATCCGGTTTGAATATCAGAAAGTGAAATACTTGTACACTGAAACAAACGGATAATGTGCATAGGTATATATATTTTTTAGATAAAAGTAAAGTTTAAAGAGGACAAGATGACGCTTAAAATGCCATTGTGCACCAAGGAGGACCTCAGCGAGGCGGTCAAGCTGCAAAAGCGGGAGCAGTACGAGGAAGAGCGCAAGAAGCGCATCTTCAATGCCAGGCAGCGACTCTTTGGGGTGAGTACAGTGTACCTTGGCAGTCCCAAGCGTCTGTCATCCATTCTTCGTTGCACAATCTGTAGCTCGATTTGGAGACGCTGGAGCGCCAGATTTTGGAGAAAAAGAAGCAGAACAGTGAGAGGCTGGAATGTGATAAGCGCTATGAGGAGCAGGAGCAGCTGCAAAAGCGCCTGATCACGGCCAAGGAAAAGGAACTAGAAAAGGAGAAACGCATTGTGGACTCGGATCTCAACTATTATCGTTGCCGTTATCAGCGTCGGGATCAACGTCGCGAGTTCGACCTCAACGATCCAAACTTTCTGAAGAAATCAAAGCCGGCTCGCATTGCCGACGACGATACGTCGCTTGGCATCTCTAGTGCACAAATCTTCTGCGGCGAAGATTTGCATAGGACCGATCGCCAGGTAAGGCAGCGTGAGCAACAACGCGCCTGGCTCGATCAGCAGGTTATGGAGCGCAAGCAGGCGGAGGAGGCACGCCGCAAGGCCGACAATGTGTACATGGAGAGCGTACAGTGCCGTGACAAGCATCTGGAGGAGATGGCCAAATCGGATCATCGCATGCGCCAGCAGATCATACACAAGGTGCGCCAGTTCAATATCAATCTGGCCAAGCAGAAGCAGGAGAACCGCATGCGCACCAAACGCGAGACATACGAGGACGACATGGCCGAAATCTACAATATGCTGTCCAGCGATATGCTGACCGAGAATCCGGATGTGGCTCAGTCGCGCAGCAATCCGAACAAAAAGATCGCCTTCATGTATCGCGGCATGACACCCGACGAGCTGCTGGACTTCCGCAAGGGCCAGGAGCAGCAGCTGACCGACACGATGCAGCGCAAGACCGAGGCTGAACTGATGAACAAACAGTGGGAGCAGTATGCCATGAACATGGATCGTACCCTTATGCTCAAGCAGATCGAAATGGATCGCAAGCACAAGCAGCAGCTGGACGATCTGGTGCGCGCCAATGCCAAGCTCGCCACCGAGCAGGATAAACAACGCAAGGAAGCCCTCGTCCAGCTGAGCAATGCGGTCAGCGATGAGTTCTACGATCAGTTCAACAGGACCTCACGTTAGTGCTCCCAGCCACATTCACATTCAGTTCAATCAGTTCATCGTTTATCCTGAGCTCTGTGTGGAATTGTTTCAGCAGCACCTGAACTCGTCTGCCGGCACAGTTCCACACACGAGGTCAGCAGCCAACGAATTGCAATCAAAACCAAAAAAAAGTTAATAAAGATTAAATTAAAAGTTGAGCGTTTTGTTTGAAAACAGAATCTTAATAGCAATGCTTCAAAACCTGAACTAGTCAAACTCCTTTGACATGCGCTTACAGCTCAAAAGGCACGTGAAGGCACTTCAAAAAGGAATGTTAACGGCGCTGAGGTAGAACCTCAGGTGCTTCACACAAGACGAAACCGGCGATGCAGGCAACTAAACAATTAAGGAAAAGAAAAGCAGCGACGCGCAAAGACATCATTTTCACGAGGGTGCGGCTCGGGTTCAATTACTGTGAGCACATT